CTTTATCAGGGAAAGCCCCTCTACCTTTCCCTCGTTGTGGAAAAGTATAGTTTATGAGTAATGTTTTTTTTTGTAGAAACGGCTTCGGTGCGTTCTTTTTTTTATTAATTCCTCAAAAGGATCTCTTTTATTCCTTATATTCTCTATTATTATTATAGTTGTCTTTGCGAAATATCTATTGACAGAGTATAGACAGTAGAATAATGTGACACTAGTCTTACGTCCTTTTCACACTTACACAAAATTATGTATGCTATCCAGCTTTCACAGTAATTTTTCTATGTTTTACGCATTTTAGGTTATAATAGTCTTTCTTTATTTTTCCGATAATAATGCATTACCTTTTGATGTGAGTGGTATTATTATAATCAGAGACCAAATCTCTACCAAATAAAACACCTTACTCCGCCAAATTTGTGCCAAACGATTCTAAATCCAACCTGAACCGAATCTAAGCCACATTCATACAATGAGCTATCTCTAACTCTGATTTTGGCTATATGTGTACCAGCATGTCCAATTCAATGTGTACCAGCATGTCCAATCTTTCTTTCTTTTCTTTTTATTTAAAAAACGTCACCCCCACACTAGGATTTTCTCCTGTGCCGTGGAGGCAGTTTACAAACATAAATTGCACAAGGACAAACATCCAGACCCGGAACAATTATTTGTAGGCCATACAAATACTTGTTCCGTGCGGGATTCGAACCCGCGGTCCCCAGCGCAACAACTCATTGCTAAGCCACGGAGCCGTCAATATTTGCTTTGTTAAATTTAAAAAACTAAGGCTTGGGAGGAATAACCTCTTGGATGGCAGCATACTGTTTACCCTTAACATTTTTGGATACTTCCCACAATTTATTCCAAATTTCATTCAGTTTCCTTTTAGCTACCAAAATTAGGTCATGTGAGTAAATTAAATTTTGTAGAATGCCATTAGTAATTTCATTTTTAGCGAGTACATCAGCTGTTTCGTTTCCATAGATACCACGGTGGCCAGGGATCCAGGCTACTGAAACATGGATTCCTTTAAGCATCTGAATAGGGTATTTTTATTTTGAGAATTAGTGGAAATTTATATTTATTATGGAATTGATTGGACAATACAGCTAACAAGCAACTTTTTGAATCTGTGAAAATAACTGTTTTATTAAGATTACGTGAATCGACATATAAAAAAAGCTTCACTGATTGCAGTTGCTTCACCAGTGAAAGTGGAGGATAGTGTGGGGCATTTAAAGTTAAGAATGATTTGGAGCTTAGGAAACCAAACAGCAGCTCTAGTATAGTCTTTGTCAGACTGTTTGGATGCATCTGTGTACATAATAAGCCTATCTTTAAAGGTTTTTTCTACAATTTCTTTTAATTTTAAATTTGCCATTGGAGAATCCTTTTCTATACCTAGTTCTAGATGGATGTCAGGTTGGTAAACAATTGCCTCGTAAGGAACATCAAAGGGTTAATTTATTTCACATTAAAAGATTGGGTAAGGGAGCTGAAGAAAAATTACAAAACTTTTGAACAAGCAGGGAGAATCACCACTGTGCGATTTAGAAGATGTTTTCTTCCTCGCACAACTTCCTTGTGGAATCGATTACCACCAGCGATTTTTCTGGACCGATACGACTTAGGAACCTTTAAGAAAAGAGCTTACACCTTTCTAAAAGGCCGGCAATGCATCTGCAATTCCCCTGGTGTTGCTGTTCTTCATGGGCGGCGGTAGTCACTTACCATCAGGTAAGCCGCAAGCTCGTTTGCCCCCTCTTCTATAAAAAAAATAAGAATCTGCCGGAAAGGTATTGCCTTTTCAATCTTAAAGGAGGACCTATGCATTCAACCTGAAGAACATTTATTGGTGGGGATTTCATTGCCCCTGTAATAATGCAAAGGCATTTCGATTGAATTTTCCCCATTACTCTCAGGGATGATTTATTGCAAGGTTCCAAGAGAAAACATCCATAGTCAAGGTGGCTTAGTATTAAAGCATTGTATAGTAATTTCTGAGAAAAAGGATGGGACCCCCACCAAACATCAGACAGAGACCGAAGAATATTTATATTTTTTTCGCATTTTAGTGATATATATTCAATGTGATGACCGAAACCGAAGGCCAATTTCGATTCGAGGATACCTCCCAAAAATTTAACATAGCTTCTAACTGGAATAGGTTGATTATCATATACAACATATATATCGGGAATTCGCCTTTGACGGGAAAAGATCACCACACTGCTTTTGGCCACCAATAAGGAGAGGCCATGATTAATTAACCGTTTCTGTAAATAGTTAATGGTTGTGTTTAGACGGGAACATGCCACTGTTAAGTTGTCTAAAGATATGTATAGAGTTAAATCGTCTGTATATTGAAGGACATTACAAAAATAATTTACTGAAAGTTCTAAATCATGTGCATATAATAAAGGAGAAGACTAAGCACTGGCCTTGTGGAAGTCATTTCCATATAGTTTTTGGAGGAAGCGGGAAATTTTGAATATTTATAGATATGGATCTAGAAGAGAGAAAGTTAGGGACATAATTGACATTTAGCATTTTCTGCCTGAGCACAGGAAGAAGCACATTATCATATGCAGACAAAATATCTAAGAAAACTCCTATGAGCAATTTATGTCTTGAAAAAGCAATATGAATATCTGTGGCCAAAGTACTAATGCTATCCATGGTACTTAAGCTTTTTCAGGAACCGAATAGGCTTTTAGGTAAGACATTATTCCTTTCAAAAAACCATTCCAAGCGATTTTTTATTATAAGTTCCAAGATTTTTGCCAAAGTACATGAAAGGGCAATAGGTTGGTAACTGGAAGGGTCATTGCTAGATTTACCTGGTTTGAAAATGGGCAAAATGATTTGTGATTTCCATTCAGCAGGAGGAGCACCAGTAATATAAATAAAATCTAAAATGGATAGTAATACAGTTTTAGTATTCTCGCTACTATTAATTATAAACGAATAAGGAATCCCATCAATACATTCTCAGTCTTTAAGGCCATTGAGAACAGTAAACAATTCCTGAGAAGAAAAGGGGGAATCAAATTTATCATGTATTTTTAAAGAAGCAGAATGAAAAACTATGCATTCATCATAAGATGGGACTGTTTGTGGTGCAGGTTTATTGGAGAATCCATCTATACATGGGGAAGGATCATTAGAAATTACATTTTTACTGAAAACTCACAGCAATATTTTTTAATATTTCAGGCTGTAGAAGCCTAAAATAGCACGAAACTTGTTATCTCACTCGACTCTGCCACATCCAAGCCAAAAGCTCTACTTAGTACCTACTTCAGATTTGATTCACAAACTCTTATCAATATTTTTATATGTCCTTTGTAAAAAGAGACACCATTTACAATCCAGCTTGTATAAGATATAACATTTAGCAGATACTTAAAACTGACTAATCTTCTTCGGCAGTTTGTAGTATGTTTTTAAGGAAGCCTACTTCAATATTTAGTCTGTCTGTGGCTCCTCTGACATATGGAACCTTGAATATTTTTTGGGCCTTTGTTGTAATACCATATACATTACACCATGAATTAATTAATGACTGTGAAGACAAGTAATTGGTACAGGCACATCACAAAATACTGGGGTACAGAAATATCCAAGACGAATTCTTATTATAACTGATGAATCTACTAATTTGCTGCAATTCCTGTAATGTGAAAACCACATACATTACATTATGTTCCCAAATAACTTACATTTACATACAGCTGATGCTTAAATGTCTATGCAAATTTTGTATTACTTCAAGTAATGTGTACACCTTGTCTCGCATATTTACACCTACACATTACTACAATGAGTATGCTGACGAAAAATGCCACAATAGCTATGAATCCAAACCACTGCTATTTCTGTGCATAATAAATAAGAATTATAGAAACCCCGTCTATCTAGTGTCATGCAAAAATTATCTTTGGCATGCAAAGGGAATCCAAGTGTGTCCTTTAAAAATCTCCAATAATCCATGCAAAATAGGCATTTCTTCAGCAGAAGCAGTTCAGAGCAGAAGAATCCCCAGAAAAAATAGAATGTTCTGAGAGGAATTTCAGACTCACTATAATTTTGAACTTTGACGTCTAGACTGCCACACCTTTGTACTACATTGTGTTCCTAAGATGCATTGGTGATCATTATAAATCAGTTGGGCTAGTTTTATTATTCTCATTCTTCATTGAACCCCATGTCAGTACAACAAGTTTTTATTGATTCTTCTTTATATTCTACTAAGCCAGCGCTTATCTACGATCCCACCTGATGGTAAGTGGTGATGTAGCCTAAGATGGTGAAGCGCACTGACTTAACAATAGCCTATTCACTATTGCCTTGACACCCACACTGTAATCGGATGGAAAGACAGATGCTGGCAACTTATGCTACTCCTTTGTTGTACGCATGATGAACGACGTAGCGAACTGTTTGGTTCGAATGTGTGGTAAGTCAGCAAAGGGTGGAGACTGGCCCAACGTCTGGTTGTCCGATGGTGGAAGGGAGAGGGAGGAATTAAATTATGCAATTCCTGAGCACACTCCCCGAAATGCATCCTGTAGAAAACCGAAAGACTGGCTACTTTGTGTCTGTGTTCGAGGCTGGTAAGATTGATTTTAACCAAATTTGGGTAACCAATAAGCCTCTTAGCACGCCTTTCCATTGAGTCCAAAGCTGCTAGGTGGCATTTTGCAGCACCAGCCCATGATGCCCTTTATAAGAATATTTGGTTCAAAGGCAAGAGATTGGAAATCAAATAATAATAGAGAAGGAGAACTTGTTAAACTGTGATATTGAATTGGAAACAGATTGAGAGGTATTAAAACCAAGCAAGAGGAGTAATGTCTTTGGAAGCTCAATAATCAGATGAATTAATTATATGATAGAGACAATGTTGAACATGTAAAAGAGGGTGAGAAGGTAGTAGTATTTCAATAAATTGGTATCTGTCATAAATAAATTCTCTGCATAAAAATGACTAAATAGTAGGTACCAGTAATCATGCACTACTACTGTACCTTATACAGTTTGGCAAGTCAAAGTGGCTACGAACAATTGCATTACACAGAATTTTATTTATAGTTTGTGAATGAATAGGGACCCTAATAAACAACAAGCATTTTGCATGTTCTTATGGGTGCTCTGCTCCAACTGCCAGGCACAAGCTAATCATTGATGACCTGCTTATGCCTAATATTTATGGGTAGCCAATTGATAGCATAGTTTGACAACACACTGCTTACTCTTGTTTTCAAGTTTTATAGAATATGTGATGAGAAAATAGGCCTTAATCTGACGAATGCTGCTCAGACAAGTTGAATTTGACGATCGTCCTCTCGGTCTTGGTTGGACTTACCTACTCAATTTCCCTTATATAATCATACTCGTCAACAACTTCGAGTCTTAGTTCTTCATAGTCTTGCTAAGAACTACCTGTATAGATGTGACATTGATGTTATACATGATATTTATCTTCATTCTTAGTTAGAGTTATATATCTTTGCCATTGATGTTGATACCCTTTCTTTCCGTGTCTTCCAATGCATTAGTGAAGAGTTTCGGGTAAAAAATGTCACCCTGTTTTAAACTTCTCTGCAGCTGGATAGATTTTGTACTCTAGTTTTATACATGGATAGCTATCGTAGCCTTAGTGTACAAAAACTTCAGCACATTAATGTACTGACAGTTAAACTGGCTTTGCTAAAGAGACTGTAGCACTATCCAAATTTCAACAGAATCAAAGGCTTTCACATACTACATTGCACAGGCACATGAACATATTTACATTTTTTTTTAATTTTGTTAAAATTTTTTGTGTTGTTTATAGCATATAAATACGTAACCAACAAAATATATTTTTTTAACTTTCTTTTGTATAATTGTTCTAGGAACAACACTGGCACAAAGTGGTGGTGACTACCACTACATTAATGAGGCTTATGGACCACTTCCTGCATTTCTTTATTTGTGGGACGCTAATCTTATTTTTGTGTAAGCTTACAACTATTTTAATATTTTTATATTATATAATTGTTGTCATGTAGTGGTGGTGTAAGTGAATCTACTACCTCATGTCATACCATTGAAAGATGGGCAGCAGCAGCATCTTTCTGATCACAATTATTATTGAAAACAGTAAAAACCTGTGGTTGCCAATCTGCCGGCCAAGCGTGCTAACTAAAAATTCTACCTATGACGAGGGACGCCTATGTTCAGCAGTTGACTTCTTAAAAAATGTAATTTATGATGGTATGTAGGTTAATGAATTGGTGGTGCCGATTGGTGGGACCGACATGACTGATTGAGCTCATGTACACACAATGTATTGCAAATGTAAATATTATAAATTGTAAGGTTTGGAGCATTCCATTAAAAATAGTTGTATATTAAAATGGTTAGTTTAGTTTACGACGGGCTGTTTTCCGCAACTCCACGTCTAAACGCGTATTTTGCGTGTGGGCAGGAATAATGTAATTATTCGAGCCATAAAATCTCCCCAAAGAAGTTCAACAGTACTTTGATGTTGCGAGCAACTTCGGGGAGTGGTCGCGGCGTGCTGAGATGTTTAGTCCTATATGCAGCGACCTCCGGACATGTCAGCAACATGTGGGCCGCCGTTTCTTCCTCCCCATACATGCCCTGTGGTAAATAAATGTTTGTTAAAAGAGCCATGTTCTGTGATAGCACATGTTACTATCCTGAGCTGTGGCTTATTCAGTCTCATTAAAACCTTAGTTAAATGACTGTTTATTTCAGGCAGGGCCTCCCTAGTTTGTTTACAGTCTTCTAGATTTTTCCAAAGTTGAGCATGTTGATTAGTGAAGTTTCTACATAAAAGTGAACGAATGTTACCAAAGGGGATTTTTTTTCCTAGTTTGGCAACTTCCAATGGATTCTGCCAGCGTCAAGTATTTCATGAGAGTCCAAAAGGGATTGGTATGATTAGTTCCGGCCCTATAGCGGCCAGAACCGATCCTCTTCTGGCCATTTCGTCTGCTGCATGGTTGCCCCTGGATTCATTGTGTCCCTTTATCATTGCAGAGTCACATTGTTGTGTTTACATACCTCATTCAATTGCTGATGGCATTCATATATTAGTCCCGAAGCTTGTAGTACCGCCATACTGATGGTCAGTATTCTGATGGAGAAGACTTTTACCTTCCTAGCATCTATTGCTAATGCCGCTTGAATGATACCCATACATTCCGCCTGAAGACTGTGTTGTGGGTCCACAGCGGTGTACATATGTACAGTGAGGTCTTCAGAGAAAATTTCAGATCCTACACCTTCATTTGTTTTAGAACTATACGTGAAAATTCTAAGCTCTTTTGGGCTTAATCCCTCCGGCCGGCTGGTTTCATTTAATTGTATCTTATGATTCTTATCGAACACAAATTGTTTGGGGATCTTGTCGTAATTGGCTTGTAAGATAGGAATTTTTGAATAAATTCTATTAATTATACTTGTATGAGGTACTTTACTAGTACTCCAAAGATTTAGGATCTTGAGTCTAATGGCAGCTAAAGTCGCTTCTTTTTGTATGTGTAGGTGAAGCGGGGCTAGCTCCAGCATAACCTCTAAGGCTGCTGTTAGTGTAGTCCTTATGCAGCCTGTCGCAGCCATACATGCCAGTCTCTGGTAACGCTGAAGCTTCTTTATAGTGGTTGCTTAATTTGTTTTGGTCCACCATACCAGAGCGCCGTATGTGAACATGGGCCGAATTACAGTTTTGTACAACCACAGTATAATTGTTGGCGTCAGACCCCATCGTTTGCCTATCATGTTTCTATGTTATACTATACTAGCCTTGTTTTATTTTCTATGTGTTTATTTCAGTTGAGTTTACTGTCCAAGTTAAGACCTAAGTATTTTACCTCAGAGGATAGCTGGAGTTTTGTGCTGAAGATACTCGGTACTTTGGTTGTCGTGCTCAGAGTTGTTGTAGAACAACTTACCTTTTAGGTTGTTTAGGCCTTTGATTGCCCCAACCCACGACTCCTGGATGAAGACTATGGTCATCCTTTGAGCCTCCAACTACTTGCATAATTGAGCCGACGCAGTTTCGCTGTGTTGTGCATATGTAGGTTGGCCTGTGGTGTAGACTAGTTCTGTACATAGGGCACGTCATTGATCGCGTCTCCCCCGTCCCCTACCAAAAATAAGCCTACCAGCAGATCCCGGGTCTCATCGTCAGCCACTGAGTCTGAATTGGACGGTAAAATGCAGTAATCTTTTTCACTCGGTGAGCTGTTGCTAAGCCCGATCTCTACTGGTGGCTTCGGCTCAGTTGTGCATACCGTTTTTGGTTAAGTATGAAGACATGTTAAAGACGAGCCGCGGCGCGCCGAATTGAATCGACCGCGCGAATGCTTGATAGGCGAATTTCTTCGCCAGTGCGATTCGATTCAACTCGGCGCGCCTCAGTCGACGCGGAGAAGTGGATGCGCGCCAGCGTATTTTAATTAATTTCTATTTCGTTTTCGTAAAAATCTTTTTGTTTAAATAAAAATGAATGAAGAACCATTGACATCACTGGTCCAACAATATCCAGAATTGTTTAATCATGAAGATCCACATTATCACGATGAAATAAAAACATCTCTTCATCCGAGCTGTCCATGACGCAAAAATTACCTATTTTGATGAAGAATTTGCGATGAATGAACAATTCGATTCAATTCGTCAGAGATGGACGCACTAGGAATAAATGCGATTCGCTCCGATTCGACGCATTTCTGCTGTAGTCGACGCCAGGCTTTAAGCATATTTAGTATTGCGACAAAGTTCATTTTCTTATAGTTTCTTCACCAATACAAACATGTTATTATTCAGCAGTCAAGTATGTCATTGTTAATACATTATGTCCACGGTTACTTCTACAATGTTACCAACAATAAGATGCAATATATTTTTATAGGAACATACTACTTGATTCAAATTGAAAAACGATTTCCTTGTTACGTATTGAGAGACATGTGATTGTTATTTATACAACTTATATTGGTTTCAGTCCAAGCACAAACGCTATAATGGCATTAACATTTGCAAATAATTTGTTGGAACCAATCTTCCCGAACTGTCCGATAGACATGTTAAGTAAAAAACTTATAGCTGCCATTACCATTTGTAAGTATATAAAATTAACATTATTAAATATTATTTTAAACTAATATCTATATTTCCTACTTTCTTCCTTTTCCATTCCTTCATTAATAAGGACTTTATTTTTTTTTTGTAACTAAAAGCTTAGCAGTTTTGTTTATTCTGTCGTTTTCAGTGTAAGCCGAAATATTTCTAACTTTATTTAAATGAAAAGATATTAATACAAAATATTGTTACAGGTCTTCTAACATTTATAAATGCCTATGATGTGAAATTCACAACCCGAGTGCAGAATGTTTTCATGTTCACTAAAATTTCTGCTCTTGTTATTATTATAATAGGTGGCATTGTTTGGATGGCTCAAGGTATTGCAATGTTATTATTATATTTGATTTAGTGTTAATATTCAAAAGGTATTTATTAGCAATGATATGTAATAATAATAAAATAATATTCATTTCCAATCACTATCTAAAAGACCTAAAAACATTTCGCACTGTAGTCATCTTATGAGGTATCTAATAGGTTATCTCGTGAGTTTTACGAGTATAAGAAACATTAGTAGATTGCTCTGTGATGATCTTTCTTATATTTAAGATGTAGTCTTGTTATTGGAAACAAAAAGCCGCATCAAAAGTTTAAGACGATTGGATGTTTGATCGCAAATAGCCTGCCGACTGTGGCAACTAAGCATGTTCATTCTTATTAAGGGGTAAAGGTAGATAGAGAGTTTGCACTAAATTAATATACTCTTGACATGTATTGTTTTTTTTTGATCTAGACACGAATATGATATATAATTTTTAATAAATTCAAATTGTTTACAGAGTTAAAGTTCCAGTTACAAAACTTTCATTTAAATTTGTAGGTCGATTAGACAACTTTGAGGATGGCTGGGCAGGCACCAAGTCCTCAGTCGGTGATTGGTCTGTGGCCTTTTATTCTGGAATATTTTCGTACTCAGGATGGTAAGATTTTAGTGTTCATTTGGTGATTGCTGTGATTATTAATGGCTTACACAAAGATCAGAGTCTCATGTTATTCTATACAGGAACTACCTAAATTTTATGACGGAGGAACTGCGAAATCCATATGTAAATCTACCGCGCGCCATCTATATATCGCTACCGCTTGTCACTGGTATCTATCTGCTGGCCAATCTGTCGTACCTGGCAGTGCTGGGGCCTATCGGTGTCAGAGCTACTGAAGCTATAGCAGTTGTAAGTATGATTGATTTATTATTGAGTGATTGCAGAAGATATTGTAGTACTTCATTACTACTCGCATGCAGACGCACAGCACTCACTCGTTCTAAACTACCCGTGCCGTTGATTAGAAGGTACAGTGATTAGGATTCAGATTACAACATATCCATCCAGATCCAAACAGCAAAATTTGTGATTTCGTATAAATATTATTTTACCTGTAATCAGGGACTGTAATACCGATATTTTGCAAGTATCGATATCGGGATATCGATATTCGTACTGCTATTTAGGTATAGATTTATCGATACTGGTCTCGATATTTGATATCAGTACAATAATATTGATACTTGGAAATTTGAATATCGGTATTGATACTGATACCAATATATCGATACAATAAAAATAAATTCCTTGTTCTCGCGTCTTATTTACTCTCTCTAATATCAACGGTCATAGGTAAGGCACGCGGTCATACGTAATGAAATATGGCGCCTATACAAAGCAAGCGTATATTTATTTTTAGTCAGGTCATAAATTCTGTCACATGTTTAATATAAAATAATTGAAACAAGTTTATTCATTATGTAACCATTTATGTACCAAAATAAACTTAACAAAACGTAGATTCTTATGACACTAAAGTTTATTCAAAATGACCTCCGTGATTTTGAATACAGGCCTTCAATCTGCGCGGCCAGTCGTCTATCGCAGCACGAACGAGGTCCATGTCAATATCGGCGGCTACCTTAATCAAGGATGTCTTGAGTGACTCCAAATTGGGATGAGGTTTTGAGCACGCCTTTTCCTCCAAGTGTTGCCATATCTTGTAATCAACGGATTCAAATCTGGACTGGAGGAGGGCCAGTCTTCGTGCCGGATGAAGTCGATTTTACGCGCCGCCAGCCAGTCTTGTGTGCTCTTAGCTCTATGAGCTGGCGCCGAATCTTGTTGGAATACCCAGTGCCTGTTATTGAACATGGTATGAGAAACAGGTTCCACAAGGTTCGTTAGGACTGTATTTTGATACACAACTGCATTCGTTTTTACACCTTTCTCACAAAAATGTACCTCTGTTAAGCCCCAATAAGAAACTCTCAACCATACCATGAGCGAGGATGGAAAATGACCTCGTTGGACACGCGGAATACGGTTGCTCGCTTCTTCACTACTGTGTGCGTACACCTTATCATTTTGTTTGTTGTAGCTCTCTTCTACGGTAAAATTTTTTTCATTCGAAAAAAGAATTTCCCGATATTTTTTCCCGCGTACCGCTTCAACAAAGCGCGGCATCTCTTCAGTCTCAGGTCCATTAGACGAGCATTCAAACGATGTCCTGTTTTTCTTCGATATGCCCGAAGCCTAAGTCTTCATTTAACACCCTTTTCACTGTGGTTCTGCTTAACCCCATCTGAAGGGCCAACAGTTTCTGCTTACGTTTGGGATTTCTTTGAATTCGCGCCTTCACAGTTTTTATCACTGCTGGAGTCCTAAGAGACCGAGGGCGACCACTGCTTGACCTGTCATCTACACTAGAGTCTTCATTGTATCGTTTGATGGTACGATAAACGAATCTTTTGGTTATATTCAAATTTTTCAGTATGTCAAAAATTTGAATTGGCGCGTAACCGCGACTATGCAACGCAATAACTGCAACACGGTCTTCTTTAAGCGTCGTCTCCATATTTAAAAATGAGTAAAATTCTAAAAAGTATACAGTTTTATTTTCATGAACAATTCGAAATTCGAATTCAATAAACTTTTTTGTGGCCAGCATTCTAAAAGAAAAGTTTTTACTGTGTGACAATACTTATGACCTGACTAGTATGTATGTATATATATTATGTAAGAGATACACACATAATTAAAATTAGAAATGTTGTCCACCCAAGTTCAAAAATATTGGTCATATGGGACCACATGAGAAGTACCAGCTTTCAAATAAAAAAAGAATCATCGAAATCGGTTAACCCAGTAAAAAGTTATGAGGTAACACACATAAAAACATACAGTCGAATTGAGTACCGTCTCCATTTTGGAAGTGGGCAGAAAAGATTGTCCAGTGGTTGTAGAAATATTGTATTTTGTTGACCTTTCTTATCATAACATTCTCTTACATAAAACAAAATCTTGACATTATATTTCTTTATGTCGGTCTAATATTTATATGTGGGTGCCAGAGCCCTGCTTCAGCTATATCATAGTTGTAGCACGAATGGGTAGGCTCGACCGGGGAAAGACCACGCGCTCTCACAGAATATCAGCGTAAAATAGCAGCTCAATTCTGCTGTGTTTCGTATGGTGAGTGTAGAGAAACAACTATGTATATTGTTGACTTAAGATTTGTATCTGGAGATTGTAAGCGTTAGACATAATATAATTTTATTTAATAATAATATCAAATTTTGTGAATAGGTTTGCATTATGTATTGACAAAAGTGTAAAAATTCGTTGAATAACTATTTATGTTAGTTGCTTTGCCTTTATTGGTATATGGTAATAAGTGACAGACTTTTTGGAATCTGCGACTTAGATTGAGAGTGCATGAAACCAATAATTAAGAAGTATTTTTTCCACACTTGATAATTACGCTTGCAAAAAAATATCAGCATATTTCTATGGATATCAGGTTATTTGTCAGGGTTTTTCAATTTTCTATCGAGTAACCCTAATTTTTTCTTTTTTTTGCATAGAATAAGGATGATAAAAGAGCAGACAGATACCTGATGGTGTGCTGATGATGTGCTGTAGCTCCATAGACTACGTTTTATCCTCGATTAAGAATCAAAATGTATATGCGTTGTCACCCCTCAGGACTGAAATGGAATGCCTCATTTCCAGTGAAAAGGGTCTCCGGGTCTCTACACTCAGCATACGAATCACAGCAGCATTGAGCTGATATTTTACACTGGTATTCTGTGAGAGCGTCATATTCCCCGGTGAAGCCGAGCCATTCGTGCTACAAGCACAATATAGCTGCAGCGTGGCTCTACCACGCATCTGTACAGGACTTCGCGGGCGCGGCGCTCGGCTGGATGCGGTACGCGATGCCGGCGCTGGTGGCGGCCGCGGTGCTGGGGGGGTTGTCGGTGCACGTGATGACGTCATCGCGCATGTGCTTTGCGGGCGCGCGCAATGGACACATGCCGGAACTGCTCGCGCACATCAACCTCGCCTGCATGTCGCCGCTGCCCTCGCTCGTATTCCTGGTTAGCACACACTTTATTCACTAATTCATCACATCTAGGGATGGACGGGCCGAAATTCGTTTTACAAGCTGTTCAACCGAATTTCGGTTTTTGAATACAGAACATTCGGTACAAGAAATAAGTAAAATACATGCACTATAACAGTAATTAAAGCATATCGTTTTATCATAATCATTTTGCTAGCTTGCTACATTTAAATCGTAATTTGTAATAGATTAAAATATTACTTCTTAATTAAGGAGTCCTTTGAATCAAATTTGTTTAATAAGAAAGCGAGGAGAAAAGCGGGGATGTGCGGAGTGCGGGCGGGGTGTAGCCAGTAATAATCTAAGTAATTGCGTATTGCGTACGACGCGTCGCTTTCGAGATGGCGCGGTGAAATTAAATCGAATGTTTAAAACTAAATGCTTAAAACGAATGTTGAAATTAAACACAACATGTACGCGTAGATACAAGTATAAGAATGCAAAAGAAGCGAGTAAAGTGTGTCAGGTTTGTGCCAACCAAAGTCCGTACTCTACTCTTCTGGGTGCTGGCCTTTAGAGTTTATGTATTATGCTATTACATACTGTGTTTTTTGTGTTTAATTTATAAGTACATACTGTGTTTTGTTTTTCAATTAAAACTTTTTTTAGCATAACAATTGTAAATTGGAGTGGATTGTCAGATGCTGATCTCGCTGGTGATGTTGATCCCGAATAGCCTGACCTCGCTGATCACCTACTGCACGGTGGTGGAGTCGTTCTTCACCACGCTCAGCTGCAGCGCGGTGCTGTGGCTACGCTACAAGAAGCCGGATCTGCCACGCCCAATCAAGGTGTTTATTGTATATTTTAGACTAGAATATAATAATTTTTATTCAATATAGAACCAGAAAGAAACCCAACGGAACTTTTTTTAAGCATCAATGAAAACATTTAGAAACCGTATGGTAGCAACCACTTCATTTCCAGGGGTTATTATGATAACCCTTATTAAACAATCTTCACTTAGTAAAAATTTTAAACTCTTTGTTATTGCACATAAGCATCTACATAAAATAGGACACTGTTACATCTTAGTAATATTAACCTCTTAATCTCCTACATACAGTCCATTATATAACTACATTCCTCACAGTGAAGACGATTTGCCGTAATAGGGTCGCCTGACAGCAATGACGACCAATGTGGCTAGACGTCTTTTGACTCTGCTCTCTGGTGCAGGTTGGTTTTTTACATAATATGGTATATTGGGTAAATGGTTGTGCAGCCACAACCCAAGGCCACGAAATAGTTACCAAGACTGACCAGAGCTATTTATTGGACGTAGTGGCATTTTCCTCATTCAACTTTCGCGACACTCATGGAAAAAGAGGATGTATTAATATTTTTTTTAAATAGCGATCCTCCCCGGCTTCGCACGGGCCACCTACCGAGTCCAATTCTGAATCTAAAATATCCAGGAACCCACCTTTTCAAAAATGGCATCGACTTTATCCGTATGGGGGACCGAAACGCATGAAACAACTTACTAAGCTACTCTTACTGACACTGCATAAACGTGTCAATTTTTTTTAAATACTGTCCTTTTTATCTTTTATCTTTTATTTTTGTATATCATTATTTATTTATTTGGATTTAAGTCAAAAATTTGGCTACTCTAGAAAAATAACCCTGTATATAAAGATAAGATATATGTAGTAACTTCATGTCGATTATTATGCCACTATTTTACATTAAGCGGTATAAATTATTTGGCTTATATAGTCTTCGTAGCCATTCTTTTTGTATTATGTGACTATATACTTTCGCATAGGATTGTGCCAATTTAAAGTTGCATAATATTATTATAAAACCTGACACGGGCGCATTTTATTGGAAAGTTTATATTATGCATTTCAAGTGTGATCAATAATTATGTAAACGATTGTTTGCTGCTAATATCCCTTTTATTAGCTTCGCGTCTATCTATCTTTGTTACGGAATCTTTTTAGGTAATTTTCCCCAGCTTGTAGACGGTCGATTGCTTCGAAAATTCGTATCAAGGATCGATGGCAATTGAATAATATAATAATTTATCCTAGTATTCTGTCAAGATCATCAGAATAAAATAAAATAATTATCAGGATCTTCACAGATCAACGCGTGTTAAGTTTTTAAACTCTTATATTATTTATAAGTACAAATTAGATAAATTACAAGTCTGTGACTTTTCTGTTAGTTTTTAGCGGAATGAAATAAAAGGAGATTACCAAATCGACTGTGTGATTTTGAATCGGTCGTTTCTAGGGCAAGCGGAAAAACAGACAATCAAACCTTTGAGTGTATTGTAGAGATAACCAAACCCTTTAGCCATTTTTGCCTATTTTGATCTCTGTTTCACTTTCTGTCTCTATCTGTAGGTATATATGTATGTAATAATTAGGCTTGCCAACTCCAAAAAAGGCATTTCCGGGATTACCCAGCTTGACATCCGGGACTTGAATATATTACGCGGGACACAACACACCACATACAAATTGGTTAGAAAAAAATTTAATAATGTGTAACAAATTAGTGTAGTTGGTACGAGATAGATAGTAATATCATATAATCACTGATATACGGGACAAAAGGCGTCCCGCATGTCACGGCGGGACGGCCCAAAATTGACCCAGAAGCGGGACGTCCCAGAAAATCCGGGACGATTGGCAAGCCTAGTAATAATATTTACGTCACAAAATCAGTGTCAGTATGTAATTAATAAATTATATACTGAATCTTTGATTTTGTGTTAAAATGTAAAATTCGGCACATTTGTTACATAGGCTGCACTAAAAGTATCGAGAATGGAATATTTCCACTGTTCCTGTCATATTAAAATCTTTTTAATTGAAAACTCCTTGGTTTTAAAAATCGAATACTATTTATGTATTTAAAAAAAGATTCTCGGTCTTGTCAGAAGGTGTAGTCAAATTTGTTTAGTCGTTGAGAAAATGGAATTGACACGAGAAAATTCAAGAGCGATGATTTATTATGACTTTCGAAGTGGTTTAACACAAAGACAGTGTGTTGACCGGATGATTTCTGCATTTGGTGATGAAGCCCCATTCAAAACCACAATTTATCGCTGGTTTGCTGAATTTCAACGTGGACGTGTCAAGCTCAGTGATGATCCCCGTCAAGGTCGTCCAAAAACTGCAGTCACCCAAGAAAACGTTGATGCTGTGCGTAAGCTGATTGAGGAAGATCGACATGTGACATACCGCGAAATTCTTGCATGAACAATTAGGTGTAAAAAAGTTGTTTTCCCGATGGATACCGCATTCGCTCTGAGAAGAGCAAAAAGCGGCTCGCGTTACTTGGTGCGTCAGAACTCTCGAAAGATTCCACGCAGGATCCTTAAATGCTGTATACAACATCGTATCAGGTGACGGATCCTGGATATACGCGTACGAACCCGAAACAAAAAACCAGTCACGAGTTTGGGTGTTCGAAAATGAGTTAAAGCCAACAAAAATTGTTCGTTCACGGAGTGTTGCAAAAAAAATGGTGGCCACGTTTGTCTCCAAAACCGGCCATGTTACGACTATTCCTCTTGAGGGACAAAGAACGGTTAATGTAAAATGGTATGCTAGCATTTGTTTGCCACAGGTCGTTTCTGTACTCCGTAAAGAGAACTGCAACCGCCGCATCATCCTCCATCACGACAATGCGAGTTCTCACACCGCACACAGAACAAAAGAGTTTTTAGAGCAAGAAAACATAGA